TTGCCACCCATACTGGCAGGGCCTGGCCAGGCTGCAGGGCCCATCAGGGTGGCCATTACCCTCCCTGGACTGAAGCAGAGACCTGGCCTGAACTGGGGCCCTGTGGGGCAAGGAAACCCACCGTGGACAGCTTCTCAATTTCCTCGTCCGAGGCCCCCAGGGACGCAAGGCCGATGTCCTGTGGAGGAAGGAGACTGAAGGGTGGAGAAACCCGGCTCTGACCTTGTGCCCGAGGTCAGGGCTTCCTGGTGTCCGCAGCCCCTCCAGAGGTCTCTTGGACACTGCATGAGATGCCAGGACCCTTCCCGCTGCTAAGGACCCAGAACCCGCTGTTCCCAGGGAAGCCAGCAGGTGGCAGCACAGGCAGTGGGACGGTCACTACACAGGATTCTCTGAGGAAAGGATCTGTCCTCCTTTGGGTAGTCTGCCCATCTCTCTCTCTCTCTCTCTCTCTCTCTCTCTCTCTCTCTCTCTCTCTCTCCCAGAAGACTATCACCTTGATGCTTCTTGGACCCCGGAGGATACTGTCCATCCCAGGGGCACTGAGCCCCCATGGTGGGGCTCAGAGATAGGCAGCTCTCATCAAAAGCTCCCAGCCTGAGACCCCAGACGCACCTGGGAGAACTGGGCAAATGTGCGGTCAGCCAGCATGGGCACGTGTCCCAGCAGCTCATGGCAGCAGTCCCTGTGTGGGGGTGGGAGGGGAGGGAAGGGAAACTGAGGGGAAGGGGCATCGGCCTGCTCCTACACTTTCCCCCCTCCCTGCCCAGGTGGCCCACTCCTCCCACACATCCCAGCGGCCCGTGCCCCCGGCCAGGCAGCTGCTCAGGGCCCTGAGTGACCACGACCACGCACTCACGGCTCGGGAGAATGCATGGGCGAGGATGCATGGCGGATGTACTGGGTACACTGGAACACACGGAAGGCCAGGCTGGCCAGGAAGTCCCGGGCAGACAACAGGCCGGCCACAGGTCGCAGCTGGAAGCCCGTCCGCTCTGCAAGGGGCCAGGGAGTCAGCACCAGAGCAAAGGAGCTGCCCAGGCACCTGGCACCCCTGCCTGGGTTGGGGCTCTGCAGTCGGCCATGCCCAGCCCTCCCTGCTCCAGGCCCCTCCCGCCCAGCTGCCCACACCCTTCAGGAAGCGGGAGACGTCCTCCAGCTGTGGGATGTTGTCCTCCTGGTAGCCGCTGAAGCGCTCCAACAGCTCAAAAGCCTCGAGGTGCTCCCGGCAGGCATGGGTGGCATAAAGGCTCTTCAGCGTGGTGTAGACTTCCTTCCTACAGGCCAAGGGTCTCAGGGTCTGCCAGGCACCCCAGCGCCCCTGCCTAGCTCCCCTGGCAGCCTCCTGCCCCCTCCCCCACCCCACCCCTACCCCGCATCAGATAAACTGCAGACTTTGCTGACACCTAGAGGCCTTGGCTTCAGGGAGGGGCTTTTGCTGGTGGTTTGGGGCATTCCAAGGGGCCGCAGGGGCTACCTCTCAGTTCCCCAGGACTGCCTGGCAGGACAGGCAGCCTCTTCCTCCTAGGCTGACATTGTAGGTCTCAGGAAGTCCCTCCCCGACCTGACCAAAGTCTCTCCTGCTGCATAAGTGTCCCAGAAGGTGGCCCTCGTGGGATTCCAGGGTATCTCCTTGACCCTCCCATCCTGTTCCCCCCACCCCGGCCGGTTGTCTCTGGGGTCTCACCAGGTGGCGATCTCCTCAGCTGTGTACTCAACACGGGGAATCGGGTCACCACTGCAGAGGGGGTTAGCAGTCAGTTACAGCCGACTTGGGGAGTGGGAAGGACAGGAAGGGCAGGGGCCTCCCTGATGTGGATGCATGCCAGCCATTGGCCTCGGGGTGGGGAATGGACAGGGGATGTTCTCGGGACTGACTGCCTGGCAGGCGGCCCCGCTGCGCTATGTGTGCAGGCTGTGTGGCCCAGGAAGGTTGCTTGACTTCTCTGTGCCTCAGTTTCCTCAGCTGTGACAGCGAGAGTGTCATCACCCACCTGGGATCATTGTAAAGGGGTGACTGAGTTAACATGTGAATTCCTAGAGTGGAGCTGCCAGGCTAGAGGCTGGCAGAGGGACCTGAGTGAGGGACAATGGTGACAGTGGTGCTGGTGCTGGTGACAAAGATAGCCCGTCCCACTCCCAGTCTAGTGTAAGGCTGCCGGCAGAGCCTCAGTCCCCACGGTGGAAGGTCTCTTACTGCTTGTACTGGAAGGCTATTTCGGCAATCAGCTTTCTGCGCTGCCGGTACGCCTGGTCCGAGAAGCCCTGACACACGAGAAGCAGGGGGCACAGGAAACTGTCAAAGGCTGCCCCGCCCCGCCCCACCCCTGCCCTGCCCTTACCCCTGCCTCGCCAGTGATACGGATGAGGGTCCCCAGGAGCTATGCCCAGCCGGGCCAAAGGGCCTCCATCAGTAAGCCAGCCAGAAGACAAAGCAGGGTCCACGCCACGTGGCCGTGGGTGAGACAGCTGGAGGCAGGCGGCCTGGGGGGGGTGTGTGTCTCTGGCTCACCGGATGGTCCAAGTCCAGGTCGGGATCAAACTTGGTGACCAGGTGGTGACACTTGTCCAGCTCTGACACTTTTCTTGGGAACCAGGGGACTTGACAGAGGATGGAAGGAAGAGCAACCTGAGCAGGTATCCCGCTTGGGGGCCACGCCCTCACCCTGGAAGCAGCCTCCCCTGAAACCTTCTGAGAGATGCAGGCGAATAGGGCTGTGACAGCAGAGAGGGGCTGCATACACCAATGTGGGGAGGAACCAGAGGAGGGACAGAGGCCGACACCATGTGGTAACTTGAGGGGCTCCCCTTCAGGGAACTCTGCACTCCACTGTCCCAAGGTCATTTGGTTGCACTGAACGACAAAAGAAGAAGCCTCACCCTTGTCCTCCCCAGCACTGCGCAAGTCCTCTGTCACCCGACGCACAGAGCTGAGCAGGGTGGCCAGGTCCCTGCTGGGCACCTCACAGCGAACAAAGTACTCCAGATGGGGAGCCCCCGCCCGTGGCCTCTGGGTGGGCCGGGTCTCCAGGTGGTGGATTTTGGCTTCAAACGTCTTGGAGGACAAAAGCAGGAAAAGAGAAGAGAAGCAGAGAGACAGAGACAGGGACAGGGAGGGAGGAAGCCTGGGATTGGCGAGGGAAGCACAGCTGGTCGGGTTGCCTGGCCCTAGGTCCCATCCTGGCCTGCCCATGACCACTGCAGACCCAAGCAGGCAGGACCCACTTCCAGGCTTAGGTCAGGTGCTGCAGCCTGGCCAGGGTTTGCCGCTGGCGAGGTGGGTTTTGTCTACTATGTCTAACCAGAAGTTGTCACAGCTGCTCCTTGACCCACACTCTGAGCAGTGCTGTCTGGGCACACCCTGATAGCCCGACCTCTGGCAGCCGGTTGGAAGATCCCGCCACCCCTAGTGACCTCATCCAGGCCTGTGGGCTCCACCCAGGGCTGCTGGGTAGGCCCTGGATCCTGCCGTGGGAGGACAGGAGGTTCAGGTCCCTGCAGTGTCACTGTGGACATCCATGGACTGGCAGACCGGGTCCACTCCACCGCTACCTCCCACCGCTCAGCAATAAGAGCCATCAGTCGCATGGGCCCTGGGGTCAGCAGCCAGCTCTGGGAGTTCATGAGGAGCCTGGCTCTAATGTCATTTGGGAATTTCTTTGGGGAGCCAGGCCACCCACCCACCCAGTGCAATGTGGCCAGGGCAGCTAATGCAATTAGACGTCACAGTAGCCACCGCCATCTGGGGCAGGTGGGTAAGGACCCTGCCCCCCCACACACTTCCCAGGCTGCCCTGTCTGAAGCCCCCCACTTCACCTTCTGAGTGTGTGAGGTGGTAGGCATGGAGGAGAGTCAAGTGGGTGGGCAAGGCCGGTGTGGTGGCAGAGACTGGTGGCCTCAACCCAGAGCTTGGGCTCAGGGAGCACCAGAGAACACAAGAGTACAGCCACAGGGCTTGAGCTGAGGCTTCTGGGACCTCTCCCCGGGAGCCACTGGAGCCCTCAGCGGCCTGGGCTGCCATGCTTACGCTGCAGAGGGTCAGGGACTGACCTCTGACACAGCCCTGTCCATGCACGGCCTCCCATACACGGCACCCACAGATGTACTCATGTGCACGTGCACCCCCAGACCCAGAGGCTGGCCACGTGCCCTCACCTCAAACACCTTCACAGCGCGAGACAGTGACGAGGGCTTGGAGCCCTTCAGGGAGAAGAGCAGATTCACCACGGCCTTTCCATCTTTCTCCTCAAAAGTCACTGTCTCCAGGGGGTCCCCGGGCTCCGAGGAGGCCGCTGCTGCTGCGGCCGCCACCGCCGCCTCCCGCTCCTTGCGTGCATCTTCAATGAGGCTCTGCCGCCGCCCGATGAACCTCGGGGACTGTGGAGACAGATGCACCCACGTCTCTTCCACCACCAAGCCCTGCCCCTCAAGGCCGGCCTGCCTCACAGTCCGCATGCTCTGATGCACACAGGAGGCAGGAGGACTCAGCACCAGCTCTGGCCAGAACACTGAGCGAGGGCCTACTGTGTGCAAATGGCAGCAGGACCAAGTCACTGTTCCCCGCCATTGCCGTCCACCCTGATGGGGCAAGGTGGGTGGCCAGCCAGGGAAGGTGCCGAAAACCACAGCGGTGGGCTGGAGTGGCCTGCCCCCGGCACAGAGATGTCATGTCACCTGTTGCCAGGCCCAGTGCTAACCAGATTCATGCTGAAAACAGTGACTCGGGAGCTGCACTCCTGCCCCCCGATCCTTGGGCAGCAGCTGTCACCCCTTCACCCCAAGAAATGGCTTTCTTTTATGGCACCCACCTAGCCCTTCTTCACTCCCCAGCTGGACGCAGGTGGGCTCCCAACTTAGTGTCCTCATCCGTAGTTCTCCTGCCTGGGGTCCCCTCCACCATCTGAAGGCCAGTCCCCTGTGCCTTTTCCCACCTTGCAGCCCTGCCCGCAGCCTCCTCCTGGCTTTCTCCTCGTTCCTCAGCCTGTCACCCAAGTTGTGGGAACAGGTTGTCTCCCAGGAGCATGCAGCTGGCTCTGACTGTCTGACTCTCCCGAAACCATGAGCCCCTCGGGTCAGTGTGTCTGCCCCCACAGTACCCACTGCCCCACCCAGGCCTGGGCTGAGGAGGTACTTGGCAGATGCGTGGGGCCTGTCGTTTGGAGATGAACTTCTGTGAAGGATCTGGGTCCCTTAAGAGAAGAATGAGCTCCTTCTGTGGCCTCCTGGCATCTTGAAACATGGGCAAGAGCAAAAGCCCCTCCCAGACCTCCCTCTCAACCTCAGGTGGACAGAGCCCGTTGCAGTCCCAGGCCAGGTCCCTGGGGAGCCTGATGCGGTGGGCTGTTCTGTACCCCACAGACATGCCCTGAGAAGTGCTTGGAAATTACATCTCTATACCTCATACCACATCTTGGTCAAGGTCTATAAACAAGGTCCATTTAATGTGTCAGGAGGGCCAGTCAGCGGCATGGTGGTTAAGACAGCTGGATCCCACACGGCTGACTATGCAGTTCGAGTCTCAGACCCGGTGACTTGAAAAGCACAGCAGGCATGTGTGTATGTGTGCTCAGAATCCTGAGAGAAAAGAGAAGGGATTGTGGTGTGGTCAACGCCCTGCGGGGGATGATTTTTCTCTTTCACTCCCTCTCTCTCTCTCTCTCTCTCTCTCTCTATCTCTCTCTTCCTCTCTGGCAAGTGCACATGCTCTATGGCAAAACTAAATATATATATAT